TATCCCGTCGTTTGCTCTACATTTTTTGAACGACTCATTTCAATCATAAAACCGAACAAAGGCATTTTTCAGGGATTACGAAATTAATATTTCGTAACGTATTTATTCAACGATTTGGTTTATTTGGATTTAGATTGAAGCCGGTGCTGGAGCTTTGTTATACATCTGATTATTCAATTTCAATAATACGAGAATAGAGGGAAATTTAAAAGGAAACAAAACATGTTTTATAAGAAGGCTTGCAAGTGACGTCACAGTACAAACTATCGATAAGTTGAGAGATGTCCTAACAAACTGTAGACATAACGCAAAGATAGGTATTCAAATGTTGATAGTGATAATTTAATTTACTATAGGTAAAGAAAAACAATTACATATACTAATCTAACTGTAAAAAAATGACTAATTAACACAAAGGGAAGAATCAAATGTTAACATTTTAAAAAACATAAAAGATTGGTTAATTTTATAGTAAATTCGTTTTTCTTTTGTCTTAAAGTTACATTTATCAAACATAATGAGATTTTATCCAAAGAAATGGCTTATTTTAATATTTTCGTAACTTCAGCGAACAATTGCTGACTTTGTTCAAATGAAATAAAGGGACTAGACGATGAGTTCTAAAGATAAACAAAACAATATCTAAATGTTGAATTTTACAACAAATACTGTTTATTTTATTTTTCAAAAGCTGTTAAAACATTGTTACTCGAAGTTGTGGACTTTGTAGACAAAAGTCAAACTATAAAACGAGTATGTGCTGTTAAAAGTGATATAATTTTTACGAACAAGGAGCACTTCACTAACACTGTCGCCGTTATTTTCATTTAAGTTTGAAAATTGCTCGCGCTCGGCGCAAATTGTACTGGAATAGGGATCGATAATGGGATTGTAGGTACGATTTTCTTACGAGACGTACCCCACTGTATAAATCTATGAGATAGAAAAATTTTCGGAAATTGTCTTCGAGATTTATCACCCGCGCCGCCTGTGCTGTTAAATTGTCTTTTGCTATTGCCGTCAGCCTAAAGCAGTATCTAAATATTTACTTAAATTAACTCGTAACTATAATGTTCAACCAGTTAGAATACTTCATATCATAAACTAGAAAAAATATCTACATTATATCCCCTCTGTAAATAAAAAGAAAACCCATTACAAATCTATGTAATTCGGAAAATTGCTACAAAAAAAGAACTCCTATTGGTATAAAAGGAAATAAAACGTAATAGATTTTAATCCCGATTACACAAGACTCCTTCGTCCGACTTTCAACGCTCAAGATTATTCATGCTCCTATTTCTCGTAGCTTTGAGTTTTCGCGGACCGAGATTTACATAAAAAGAAACTCCCGCATTCGGAATTATGATTCAATTAGTATTAAAGGATTGCTCTCAAAAGGCTTGTATATTTTCTGGTCTATCAAACACGACTGATACGAAACTCTTTGTGTGTTGAAGCAAGCCGAGCGGGATCCGAGCGACTTTGCCTTTGCTGACTTGCTTCGTAAGCAACGAACTTCAAACTGTCGATATACGGAAATGTAAGGGAAACGTATGCACAAAATTAGATCAGACATTTTTAATAAGAAATAGTAATAAAATATTATATTTAACATAGGAAAGAAGAGGAGACGATGGGGACATAAACCTGAAAGTGTTAGGAATGAATGTGGATGGCTACAAAGGAAGAGGAAGACCGAAGAAAGTATGGATGGATTGTGTGAAAGAAGATATGCTTAAGAAAGGAGTGGATTCAGATATGACGGCTGATAGAGATGTATTTCTGGCACATACTGTGCCGACCCTCCATAAGGGATAAGGGCAAGTTGATGATGATGAACATAGGAAAGATTACAGAAAGGGTTCATTTGATTGAAGCAAATTATTTTTGCAAGTGTAGTCCAGATATACTCTGATATCAGTAAATCTACAAATACATGAACATCGTCGATATGTGAAAATAAATTGCTCTTCCTTATCCTGGAGTAAATCCGTGAAAAACATATAAAAACAAACCATCAAAGTCTAATAGCAGGTGAGTACGGACTTCATATACTTTTCCCATGAACGTAAAACTTTGCTCTTTCTACGTCAAAATCCGCGGTACTAAAACATGGCACTTGCATCAGTCACGGGTAATGTAGGGTATTTGTTACTAGCGGGCCCCCAACACGGCGTCTCGGATTAAGTGACGAATTATACTTTTTTTTCTAGTGTTCACAACCTCGATTATTCCGCTCCGTCCGCAACTTTGAGATATTCGTCTTCAGGATTAGGGGGCGCTTTGAGTGAACGAATTTTTACGGTTTTCTCTTGACGGATGAATAAGGAAACCTTAATTCCACAATTTGAGGGTGCACGACAGTAATCGAGATGAGAAAGTGTAAGCACCCTCGCTAATGACATGTTTATTTAGTTATCTGTGCGACCCGACAAATGTGCTTCGAAACGAAAAAAAAAAACGAAATGAGAGAATACATTTCAATTCTGGTATCCTATTAAATTAACATCGAAAAGTCCGTTATACTAAAGGTTAATTTTAACCAATGACAGACATTTTAATCGCTGACTTCCAGTAGTAATCTTTACAACCAAGTTGAAATAAAAACAATCTCGTTTTCAAAACAGACCAACTCACAGATTCTCCACAAGCAGTCCTAAACATACAAAGAACATATGGAAATTTAAAGACATTCATTAGACAAACATGCGTAAAAAATTAACGAAGCGTCGCTACAGTCCTTAACGAATTTCCGGAACGCATTGTCGCTCGACATTACAATCGCTTCTCTCTTTCTATCTCACATTGCTGATAGGGACAGCTAATGAAGAGTTTATCTGGTAAAAAAGAACGCATTCAAATCCATCTATCGTTCGACGGTGCGTCACAAACATTCCTTTAATGGAGGCAATTAAAGACGACACTTGTATGCCTACCGAAATATCGCGATATAAAAACGTCGCTTTTACCGCATATCAAATTGTTTAACACATTCGCCGCCGGCAGCCATTTTACGAGTTGTCGGGACGGGAATCCGGACGATCTGTGATATGGGAGTTTTGTTTATAAAATTAGAATCCATTTGAGTATAGTCGCCATTAAAGTGTGAAGTATTTGAGGTCATTCCGATTTATGATAGTGGTTTCGATATCAATTAGACGTGAAGACGGTCCTCGGAGAGTTCTCTCGAGCTAGATTCGGTTACTCATAAATAAGACAGTGAATCTAAATATAGTAAACATATGAAAGTTAAAGGAAAACCCGATAAAAAAATTTATTTGGTCTTCTGGACACTTCTGAAACAGCAGGAACACAATCCTGTTGAAATCTAGACATTAAAGTTAAAGATGTACGTACCAATGTCGCAAATAAACATATAAACTACACTAGAAACAAGGGTCTAAGGATTAAAGCACTTACTTTAATGAAGGTGCCGCATAAAATGAAGTAAACTAATGTCACTCGACCCTAAATTAAAGATTAAACACCACTTTAATTATACCCTGACAAATTATCCCGAAATATTCGAGAGAACCAAAACAAATTTTGTAAACAAAAGGTCAGATGGTACAAGCCGCACAGCGCTCGTCAGATGTTCCGCTAAACGACATATAAAAGCAACGATAGTTTAAATTGTGACCCAAAAACTAAACGTAAACAAACACGGGTCCCCGAAAACCGTTGGAAAAGTTACCGGAGAACATTGAAAACATGCGGTGAGATCGGTAATGTTTCCCCAACATTTGTATAACAACTTACAATTAGCGTTTTATTTCTGACATGTTAAACAAATAGTTACTACCGCATGATTATTTACGATTTAAACTTTTTTTCTTAATGCGTGATGTCTTTTTGGATCTTAAAAATACAATTATTGGTAATACTCACTTCTATTCTTGATCTATCGAAGTAAAGGAAGTACAATATTCTACACACGTTTTCCGTCTCTACTTCATACAAGGCATATCTTAGGCAAATGCGTCAATCCCAGTACCGGGAGTATCAGCGTACCGCATCGAGGAATTCAATTTAATTACATTCAAGGAAATCTCGAGTGATTATAGATTCCATCGTTGAGTAAATTAAAAGCGGGACTCTGTGGATTTCGCATTCAATTAACATTGACTATAAAAAATCATTACGAAACTACTGTCTTCTAGAAGCTTCGACACTGAATGTTTGCGATTTCAATTTAGATTAACAGGTATGTTTTGGTAAAAATTTGGATAGTGGTAGAAAATATACAGATTATCAAGATTGTAAATTCCTATTCCTGAGCCTTCAATAGTTTTTATGGACAACGTAACTACGAATTTATAGATTTACAATACTATTTATTTATTTATTTATTTATTTTCAATAGGAAGCCAACGTATCACATGAAATAAGTTCTGTATGATGAAGAGAAGTAATTATAACTAAAACACAATATCATGGATACACTTACAGGCTAACACAACATTATAATAAAAAAAAGTTATTATCTTCCAACAAAGGAAATAAGCCGAATCAGTAACTTGTTAGATAGCACTTCGATATAACCAAAGTTCGTACTCTCGTAGGTGTTCCAAAACGTACAACAAAATATGGAAGTTCCCAACTAAGTATCGTCGTCGCGTCTCATATGTCCCAGTGTTTCTGTGCCTTTGTAGAATATAAAAGAGTTCCTTGAAACACGGGCGTCACAGTTACGCTCCCAGTCTTCAGATGTCGAACGTCGTTTGAGTTTCATCGGAATTGGTCTTTATTTCGCTTTTGTTTTCGCCAATGATACGTTTCAAACGTTCTCACGTCATACTTATTGTTGTTTTTTATTTATCGTTGCACGAGCAATTAAAGATACAAGGTACAAGACTGGCTTAGTAAGATCGAGGTACTCCAATTGACCAACCCATTACAAGTGTCCTTAACAGTTAAATAGATTATGAAGATCCATCACAAGAGTAGATACCTATCTTTTTAGAATAGGATAATGGTGTCTAGATAAAAATACTGACCGTTATGTACAAGCAGAGTGGAATCCCTGGCGAGAGGCAGTTCTGAGTCAGTGAGCGTAGCGTCAGAGGCGTTGTCTGAGGCCGAGGTAGGCGTGGCGGGCGCGGCGGGCGAGGGGGGCGAGGGAGGCAAGCCGCGCGCGCGGCCTCGGCGCCGCCCGCTGCCGCTACTGGAGCCGCTGCCCGAGCCGTAAGGCTGCAGTCGGCCCAGGCCTAAGACAAGCAAGAAGAAGACATTAAAGCAAACACTCTACAAATTAAGATTCCTGATGTCCTCCAGTTCATAGCCGAAGGATTTCAGAGTCGTATACGCTTTACAATATCAAAAACTAAAGGTTCTATCAAGCGTATATACGTCATAAGGTCTGATGTTGCTTTTTCAAGACAAACTATGGATAGCTTTTCTTCTTCTACTAACACAATTTAACTTGTTACAATTAAAACAAGTGAGTGACTTGTTAGTCACTTAGAAACTCATTTAAAAAAGCTTTCTTACTGGAATATTTTTGAAAATGTTATTTTGTCTGTCTGCGGTAATATAATGAAATTGAACACGGTATCGTGAAAACAAATCCTGACCTTTAAGAAACAAAGTCATGACTATCATTATAAGGTTTCTACATTCGTATAAGATTCTCTAAAGTTCGTAAACAATAAGAAGCCTGTGGTTTAAAATGTGGTTAACTTAGGAAGTACTCCATATTGTGTTTGAAACACAGAACTTTTAAGCCGCTAGTAATATGATAGTAAAAGGTAAACTCTTCAACTGAATAAGTTTTATTTTTGACGAATGATGGATGACCAGACAGGATTGCTGAATCCCAGTAACACTAGACAATTTTAGACCTTTTACAAAACAATTTTTAGAAACAGAAGATTCAGCAGACATTAATACTTAAATTATATCAATGAAATATAATGAAGACAACATGAATCCCGTATAATATTAAAACATTTTTAGATTCTGACAAAAATCGTTTCGTACATTACTTATTACCTGCGAGAGATCGAAAGAAACCCGATCAAAAACAAATAACAAAAGCGAGGAAGCCACAAAAAGGAATCCAAGCAGGAACAGCGGATGTAATTAGAAATAATAAAGCTTCTGAGTATGATAAAGAATACAATGGAAATTATCTTACGTTTTCCCTTTTTTCTAAATAAAATGTGGATAATAAATGTATACTAATATTAAGGAAAACATTCCGTTCTATATTATAAAATGGTAGGACTCAAATTAATCTTAAATAGCGAATAGATTCTTTTTATATTAAAGACGTACAAAAGAACAAACGGCCATCGGAATTATTCGAAATAGAGAACCGACAAGTGCTCTTAGATATATTCGCATATTTAGATTCATTGACTACATTTAATTAACAGAGGACGGGACGCAAGAAGCAGGATATTTACCCTAACCTTTCCCCTCCCTACACTTACTGTATACGAAAACAGTGGACTTTTTCGACTTAAATTAGACTTCCTAGACATATTATCGAAAGCTACATGTCAATATTCGCATGGTAAAAGTAATTTATTACATGATTTACATAAAACATGAATTACAACAAAATAAATGTGGAAAAATCTAATAATGCAAAAGAAAATAAATACACTTTTATCAGAGTAAAACGAAAAAAATATGAGAGCGGTGTGACCGAATGTTCATTTACCTGTAATCACCGTACGTAGCTTTGATGTACAGGACTTTATTAAGTAATATTGCGCCTTTCTCCCGAAACGCAAATAAATACTCGGAGCTTAACTCTATATCAAAAAGCTCGCTATTTAATGAAAGACGGTCGACTTTGCGACAAAATTTTTACATACACGTTGAGATTTTTACGTTCATAAATATCTTTATAAGGAATTATTATTATACCTTTGATAACTGCCTTTTTCGACAGACATTTTCAATTACCGTTGAGAATATAATATCATTTTTTTTGTATTTCACCTTTGATAGAAATCATTATTGTATTAAAACTAATATATTGAAATTTTATACTTATTAAAATAATCGAGACATAGTTAAAACAAGTAGTTTTCATGCAAGCAAATTATTTGCATAATTTTAGCTGCAACCCAAATTCCTAAAACTGTACGCTAAACTAGTGTTTTTACGCAAATAGAAATTATTCGAATGTGAAATAGCATCTAAATGAACTCATTTTCACAACTAAAGCTACCCTCTTTGAAATAAACGTTCCAAAACTAAAAGTAGCGATTGAAACAATCTAAAAGTATGTAAATTTCGTCTTTGAAGAACGGAATTTATTTTGATAAAGCGTAAAGGATTGAAAATTAAATTTAGAATGAAAGAAACACTTGTAAGTTGATTAGAAAAATTGTACTGGAATGAAAAAAATGTTTTTTTTAAAACTTCAAGTCTTTATGTAATCTATTTACAATTAGCATTCTTTATCCGGACATCTCCTGGAGCCCACTTCACTTGGGGGAGGGTTGGCAAAAATTCTCCTCTAACGAGCTCATTGTCCTTTTTGTTTGGATCTCCTTTGTGAAGGGTTTCTCCGACTGCTTCTTTAATTATCGCATTGAATAAGTTTTGTGGTTATTTGATTAGATGTAACTTAGGAGAGTTACAGACTGTATTATTGAACATTCCTAGTAACAAAAGGAATAAAACATTCTTAAAGTACACGTTACTGCTATACTAATACGCTATTACATCGTATCCCCTTGTGCAATAGATTTTAACCAGTTAATAGTTTATGGATACTGACCATGGACTCTGAATTTCAAACAGTAAAAAAATCAACTTAATATAATAAATGACAATGTATTGATTTTTATGCACTGACAAAAATATTAAACAATTAATAGTAATAAATAAATGTAGAGTTGCCTCGTTAATGTCTTTTTATTTCCTTTACTTTTCACGTCGTTTTATCTGAATGGAATTTTCAACTTTTCCCGCGTTTCGAATAGTTGTAATAGATGGCTGAATGCTTTCTTTTAGCATTTTCCACATGCAATCTGCATACTCAATTACGAAGTCCAGTAATGAGGTGCAGTCCGAACTACTTTTTTTCGAATCCTTTGAGCGAAGCCTCTCGAGATGTTGGCTTTAAATTAAAAAGTTTTCGCTCGCTTGGAAAGCGCTCAGCCGATGCTAGTTCATTCCTTTCTGATATTTAATGATCCTCGAATATCGGACAACTTAGTTAATTTAATTCTATTATTCATAATTTTATAAACATTAAATTATTTATCTTTACCTGTTTTTCAATGAAAACAATCCTATTTGTCACTTTCACTTGAAACACATCAATGTTTAAAAACTTAGTAACTTACAAAACCGATAGAAAACTTTTCGTTTTAACAATCAAAGTTCACAGTTCACATAACTCAAACTGTGCGCATTACGAACTCGCGAAACGGAATAAACTGTAAATATTCGCGAAATGAAGCTGTGGATATTCTAGAATCCGATATATGACGCGTGGGCGAAGGGGACTAACATAAATAAAAACATGGACTGTTTCCTCTAGCGGTGATAAGACGCGATACTCTGGCGCAGGACGTCCGCGCTGATAAACGATGACCGGTCAATTTGAATAATTATAACATTGTTTAGCATTTGAACAATTACGTAGTTGCCTTTGCTGAGTCAAAAGAACACGCGTATCAATCTTATAGTTTTCCACGTGACTCCCATATATAGGGTCCCGTGATATAGGGAGTGTTCTAAAATTAAAACATTTTTTTATATAAAATGCGATCCTTCGATTAATCTGCATAAAACGCAAATGCAATTTTAAAATGTTTTTATAATTTAGTTTTACAAGGTGTTATTTATTGACAAAATAAACCCCCTGTGTCGCGAGTGCAGAGAGCAGGCCTCTCATAACCACAGCGCAGCGCTCCGCATTGCAGCTATGCGGTGCGCTGTGTACAGTCAGCTTCGCAAGCGGTGTTCCACCTTTAAAACTACGATACTTTGAACGTCTTCCAGTCATAAAAGTTTGAAAGATGGTTTTTTAATAAACTAGTGCTTACACAGGATTCAGATTTTATGTTAAACGGTGTTATCATATTGTAATAACGTAATGTACTAATTACAGTATATTATAGTTACAGATACACTGTTTTTTTTTTTATTTTTTAACCAATATTGGATTACTAATTATTGTTAGACGAGGCGGACGTTTTTTTAAAGTGCAAAGAATTTAAATTCAGACATTTTTTCTCTAACTATAATACATTGAACGAATGCGACTGTACCTCATGCCTCTCAAATTCTTCTCCACGATTCTCTCAAACTTTTGTTTCTCTTTAAATTCAGTTGGCGCGGTAAACACGTTTACATTGAGGTGCACATTGATTAATTTTTATATTTTCCAATTGGAATTCCATCTATAGACAGTTATTTTTTATAAAAACAAATGCAAACAAAGCATTATAGACATTCCAAAAAGTTTGTTGGATCTATTTGGATAATAGTACCATGACTTTGGCACATGGAAATTTTTTTTACGTATTAATATTATTACCTCTTGAAAACAAGCAATAATTTTAATACCCTCTTTTATACACCATTAGTAATATATTTACATTTGACTGATATATTTATAGATGGTGGCTATTCGGGTAATTTAGCTTAATTAAAATAGGATTAAAAAATAACAACAAGCATTGTCTATAGTAATTTCGAATACTGGAATACTATAGTATTACGTATAGACTTAACAAGAAAAATGTAGCGACTAATACAATAAGAGAAACCTTAAAAGAAATACAAAAAATATTCTAATCCGTACTCTTACAATATGCAAAAAAATTCGGTTACAACAAAATCGAATTACAGCAAAATACAATTCGACAAAATAGTGAACTCATAAATATACAATTGGCAAGTCGCTTTCGTAGCAAAATCACGTCTATAGTAAGGGGTAACCCCCGAAAAGAATCCGCGAAAACATTCTACAAATAAACGAGAATCCCTTCACGCACGTATTGTTAGATCTTCGTTACTACAAGAAAGAGAATACAGTCTGAATCATACAAAGTCTGACAAACGAACCGACAAACCGACTGCCTCTAGGGATGTAGGCCGCAATTTCTTAGTATGCAATAAAAACTGAAGAGTGATTTTTAAAACAACTTTGATTTGTCAAAACACTATTAAGATAGGAATCTCTACTTAAATTATTTCAAAGATGAAAGCATGTCGATTATTCAGAAGATTGGAG